GAGAATATTCTAAATAGAATATTTTTTATTCCAACACTCCCCCTTAAGTCGGCTTGTAAATGTCTTCCATTGCCGGCTTGTTTACTAGAAAATGAAATTGTGTTTTCGGTAGAACTTTGGTGAGTATATCGACCACTTGCCGAGAAGTAAGAATATAAGGAATGAAAATTAGCCCACTTTCAAGTTTCTCTTTGATAAAGTGCCTATCAACTTCAATATGTTTAGTCCGATCATGAAGAATCGAATTATGAGCAATTAAAATGGCGGCTTTGTTATCAAAATAAATTTTCATAGGAACCGATGCGAGAAGCTTCAAATCTTTAAGCAATTTCTTAATCCACATAGCTTCACAAATCCCTTGTGCAAAGGATCTAAATTGCGCTTCAGCACTACTTCTTGCCATAACATTTTGCTTTTTGCTTCTCCAAGTAACTAAATTTTCTCCAACAAATGTACAATATCCAAATGTTGATCGCTTGTCCGTCACACTACCGACCCGATTAGCATCGGTATAGACTTCCACTTGAAAGTGATCACATTTTTTAAATATCAAACCCTTTCCCGGAGGCCCTTTTAGGTACTTTTGTATCCTATAGGTAGCTTCAAAATGCTCACGGCTTGGTGCATGCATTAATTGGCTTATCATGTTTACTCGTAAATGCTATATCAAGGCGAGTGTGTGACGGATGTATAAGTCCGCACACCAAGCGCTGAAATTTCTCTTTTTCAATCACATCCTCAATTTTAGCGGGATTTAGTTTGAGATTTACCTCAATTAGTCTCTCAGCTGACCTTGCAACCTAAAAGATTTGTTCATTCGGTAAATCAATGGCATATTTCCTTTGATTTACAAAGATTCCTTCACGCGATATTGCAAATTATATGCCAAGAAAATATTTCAATATTCCTAGGTCTTTAATCTCGAGTCTTCGGTTAGTCTCTTTTTCAATCTTACTAATTCATCAAGATCATCATCCGTTACTATCATGTCATCAAAACATACAATGAGGATTGCTATCTTACCTTTATCAATGTGTTTATAAAAAAGAGTATGATCTCGTCGACTTTGATGATACCCATATTCGTTTAAAGCTTCCCAAACCGTTCAAACCATGCCCTTGGAGACTGTTTGAGGCCATACAATGACTTCTTAAGTCCGCAAACTTTGTTTTGACCAACAAACTCTTCAAACCCGGAAGGTGGACTCATAAAGACTTCCTTTTTAAATCACTATTTAGGAAAGCATTTTTCACATCTAGTTGGTATAAGACCTTATTGAAATTAACTGCAAGAGATAATAAAACACGTATAGAGTTAATTTTGGCTACTCGGAGCAAAGGTTTCTCGATAATCATCATATGTTTTGAGTAAATCCCTTAGCCACAAGTCTAGCCTTGTATCTCTCAATACTACCGTCCGCCTTGCATTTCATAGTAAATACCCATTTACACCCAACTGTTTTTTGACCTCTATGCAACTCTACAATTTCCCATGTTTCATTTTTCTTTAGTGCATTTATTTCCTCAAACATAGCTGTTTTCCAATTTGGATCATTAAGTGCTTCTTGAATGTTTCTTGGAACAAACAAGTAGAGATTTTTGAAGTAAATGCCCTATAGTTTTGAGAGAGACGGTCATAAGACGGATATTTTGCAATTAGGTGATTAATGCAAGAACGAGTTCTTTTTCTAAGTGCAATAGGAACATCAAGATCACAATATTCATGAGAAACAACATTGGGTAAAACAAGAGGTGAAACAACATTAGGTAAAATAGAAGGTGAAACAACATTGGGTAAAACGGGAGGTGAAATAGGAGGATTAGTATTGTGAGAAGTGTTTTGAGTACTCGAATCCGAGGTAATGGTTTGACTAGGTGTTGAAGGAATGATAAGTTCTTTACCCTTTTGATGTTTCTTTCTCCTTGCATAAACAATGACCTCATGTTTCGATACTTAGGATTATTTTGTAGTATCTCTCTTTGTCAAAGATTCAACAATGTTTGGCAAAACGAGTATTCTTATCGGTAAAAATTGCTTTGTCATTTTTGAAATCGGTAGGTGTAAAGGCCACTGTTTGAGGTAAAGTAGTAAAAATAGGTATGTTATCCCAACTATTTTCTTCCTCTAAACTCTCCCCCTAAAGAAAATTCTTTTCAAAATAAAGCTGATTTTCAAGAAATAAAACATCCATAGTAACTAGGACTTTTTGGGTCTTTGGATGAAAACACTTGTACCCCTTTCGATTTGACGCATAGCCAATAAAGACATATTTTTCAGCCTTTGGATCAAGCTTGGACCGATCCTTATTGGGTAAATGAATATAAGTCTGTGCACCTAAATATTTTAAGGGGTAAATTAGATGAAATTTGGTTTGCGGGAAAGAAATTTTTAAAGCATTCAAGAGGAGTAATGAATTTAAGTACACGAGTAGGTATTACGTTTATCAAATATATTGCTCGTTAAAAGCTGCTTCTCCCTAGAGATACTTAGAGATATGCATAGAAAAGATAAGAGATCGAGCAATTTTCAATAAGTGTCGATTTGTTCGCTCGGGTATACCATTTTGTTGAGGTATATTAACACAAGTGGATTGATGATGAATGCCCTTATCTTTAAAAAAATTTCTAAGAATTTCACTAAAATATTGAGTACTATTATCGGTATAGAAAATACCGATTTTAGTTTGAAATTGAGTTTCAATCATGAATTTTCTTTTTTTCCCCATAAAAATCATTAAAAAAAAAAATCTTTTCATGGTTATGATATGCAAATGCATTATATGAAATGCATTCCTTTGTCTTTTTTTTACTTTTTTTTTTCCATCAAAATCATGAATGTAAAACTTCTTTGATGATTATGATATACAAATGCATTTAAATAAAAATGCAATACATTCAACATAAACTTTAACATGCATATTTTTAAACTTCAAAAAAAATATATATATAACATTAATAAAACATCAAATATATGTTCCATATAAACTAAGCATGTAAAACATTTACAAACAATGAACATCAATCATGCCTTAAATACACATTATGATCGAATATTAAATAACATAATTCATCTATTTTCACATGATTACAATCATTTTTCATATCATTTTATATCTCTAAACCTCAAATTACATTAACCTCACATCACCATTTTTTGTCTTTATTTTTCTTTCTTGGCTGAAATTGGCCAATTGAAGGACAATTTCCATTTCTTTTTCTTACCTCAATTTTTCATCTCAATCTTTTTAAATTAACATGTTCATCATCATTTAACGAGCAAGTAGGTTAAGTTTTCATTCAATCTAAATCTTCTTACTTGGTCAAAATTCATCATAAAGTGACCAAGTTTTAATATTTTCAATTTAGCATCATAAACATCTTTAAAGCATTTCATCAAACATATTACGAACATTAGGTCTTAAAATCTCTAATTTATTCAAGTTTAAGGATATCGAACATTCTTGTTCTAAGAACTAGAACAACCTCAAAACCATTTAATTCAATTAAACATCAAATCATCATAATTCAAATCACACAATTACATATCCATCCATACAACCACCAAAATCAAACAACGTAATTTCACCAACAATTAAATCATTAAACCTCAAGCAATGTAACTTTAATTTATTATCAAATATACATCAAAAACATAATTTTTTTATAGTATAGTAAGGATTACACTTACCTCACTTGAAGTTTGCCTAATTCTCCTCTTTTCCTTCTCGATTTCTTCCTCCTCTTTCTTTCAATAATTTTGGCCCAAATAATATATTTTTTTTATTTGTTTGATCTTCTAATTACATATCCATCCATATAACCATCAAAATTAAAGAACAACATAGTTTCACCAACAATTAAATCATTAAACCTTAAGTAATATAACTTCAATTTATCATCAAATATACATCAAAAACACTAATATCTTATGATGTAGTGACGATTATACTAATATCTTATGCTACCGAATTTAGCTTCAATAATTTCAGCCCAAATAGTAGTTTTTTCTTCTTTTTTGTTTGATTTTCTAATCTAATTTTGAGGTTGTTTTAGGGTGTTTTCGAGGCTAACTAAGGTGGTTTAGAGTAGTAGTTGAATGGTTTTCTTCTTAGTTGATGTAGTTCCTCCTTTAGGGTTACTTGATTACTTATGGCTTGTAATCCCTCTTCCCTCTTCTTTCTCTACTCTTATAGTCATGGTTTTCCCTTAGGATAAGTCAAGTGTGTCACACTTGGATTAATTTTAAGGTTGGTTATTAATGGCTTCTAGATTTTTCTTTTTTCTTCCCCATCTTTTCTTCTCTTTATTTTTCTTAGTTATTTTCTCTTGTTTCTTCCCTCTTTGCCACCTCTCTTTTCTTTTTCTCTCAAATTTTTCAGAATTTTCTAGCTAAAATTTGTCACTTATAAACATTTTATATTTTAATCCTTGAACTTTTAATCTTTGCAATCGGTTTCTCCAATTTCAGTCCATAACTTCACAAAGGTAGTTTAAGTCCCTAAAGTTGTTTAATCATTTTAATGAAGTATCTAAACTTTTAATTTTTGCAATTATGCTCCTAGGTTTTGCAATTGCGTCCTTGGGTTAAAACATAATCATATCAATTGAGGGTACCAATCTCTAACTCAAGCCTTACTCATTCTATTAACATTCCCTTTTAATCATACTAATGTTTATTTTATTCTTAATTAAAGTTTAAACTTTTATTCCTCATATTTAATAAACATATTTTCATTAATTACATAAAATATCTTTACAACATATTTATATTTAAGGAGGATTTTGGTTTGTGAATATTACATATTGCTTGTGTGAAGCTAGTGTTGGAATTACTTTTTTTCTAATTCTTGATAAGATGGAAGTTACATGTTTGAATGTGAGCCCATTTCCTTGTTTAAGACACACTTGGCAATTATAGCTGTTTTTCTGAGCTCAGAAATGTATTCCTCATTCATTTTCTGTGTGGCATCTGTAAGCACACACTCCCTCTTCTGAAGCCTCATGCTCTGCATTTCAGACTTTTTAGTGTCTGCTGCTGTTGCTGAATTCAAAGGTCCAGATATTTTTGGTGTTGTTCGCTTCGCTCAAGTGAACATGGAACTGGTTAGGATTGAAGCCAACTTCAGTGGATTATCACCTGGTAAAAATGGTTGGTCTATCAATGAGTTCGGTGATCTAACAAAGGGAGCAGCAAGCACTGGAAAAGTGTTTAATCCAACCAATCAAGGAACTGAACTAGAGGTTTGCATCAGCACATGCCTTCTCTGATTTGAATATGTTTATGCTAATATCTCTTTTCCACAAATCTGTAAGTGGTAATATCGATACAATGGTACAAAGACTAGTACTGCACACTTTGTTCATAGGATATTGATAACTTCACACGTCGCCTGGGATTTGTGGTTTGAACTTCATTTAACTTACTTTAATTTTCCTTTATTATGTAGAGTACTTTTGGTTCATATATTTGAAGTAATGTTATAATAGCTTTTCTAACAGATTTTCTTTTTCATAGCCGCTTGGCGACCTGGGAACATTAGATGTCAATGAGAAAGGAGATGCCTTCTTTTCGGGCACCAAACAGAAGCTAAGAGTTGCAGATCTGATTGGGAGATCACTAGTGGTATATGGAACTGAAGATAAATCGGACAAAGGTCTCAGAGCAGCAGTAATTGCTAGAAGTGCAGGAGTTGGTGAAAATTACAAAAAGATTTGCACATGTGATGGGACGACCATATGGGATTCGAGTAATAACGATTTTGTTGCCAGTAAGGTTTGATGCCTTTTCAAATAAACCCCACGCAAGGATTTAGGCAACTTGTTCAACTATTGCAGGATTGTATCTATATTTTGTTTTATTTGTGTGTTCAATGTAAGAGAGTGGTGGCATTTTATGAGCACATTCCTTTGTTGTAACCGTTTCAGTGATGAAATAAGATGCTTAATAGGGTTTGGGTTTAGAACCTTGTTAATGGACCCTTCTAATGTTTATGAAGCTGGAGTCGGTAGCATCTGTGATATTGGATGGGCGTGCATGCTTGCAGGGCTTCAGGGTCTGGTGTTAAACCTGGACTTAAAAAAATTTTGTTAATGGTTTAGGTCTTTTTAGTTTTGTATTTGTCTTAATTTTTTATTTTTATTTTAACCGTATTTCTTTACTAAATTTTGTTTTATTCAGGGTTGTCGAGATTTGACGCTGATATTACGATGAAATTAATTGAAAAATTAGACTTGATTAAAGGGATAATATTAAGATGAAATTTTGTAAAAAGACTTGATTAAGACAAAAACAAGAGGAAAAGGAATCCTTTAGCCGTTAACCGTAAAAAAATCGATGGAGAATGCTTTTCGCTTCTTTATTATATGTGCTATACCTGTACAAGTTACATTCAGGCTAATGGCGTAGATAGGGAGCGCTTTCAAATTCTGAACAAGGTTCCTTGTTTTGGGGCTTGCCTTAAATAAATGGACGCAACCATTATAATGGTTTTTGTTAATCCCATTAGCAATGCCAATCCTATGTTGTCGGAGGCAACAGTCGTCCTCCTTTAGCCATCTCATAGAGCGCAATGGCCATGAAAACTTTAGCATCAGCTGTCATGCGCCAGAGTTCCCTATATGGAACTACACGAACCTTTATCATTTCTCCCTGTTCGCGAAGGCCAGTCTCTTTTCCTTGGAGCTGTGTGATGATTTCTTTATCAACGCATCCTCTATAAAGGAACACACTGATTTCCTCATCGCATCCTCCCTACCCAAGAAAAAGCAAACAAGTCATGATGATACCGGGACAAAAAATTGTCAAGATAATATATTACTTGTTTAAGCGACTTAAAGGCCAAACTGTATTTCAAAAGCATATAGTTCGACAACTTGCAAAACAAGCATATGGTAGAATTTTTCATTCATCAAAAGATGCAAAAGCAACAATATCCAACAATAGCACTGATCATTTGATCAAAAAAAGGTACAGAAGTGGACATAATGTAATAAACCTAATTAGAACTGCATTATTCTGAAATGAAAGTTCCAGTTCCTTTCTTCTTGACACATAGTAACTCTCCCAATCTCAATCTATGTTTGATTTGATACCAACTTCCAATATCAAAATGTAAAAAACTGAAAGCCAAATGCAAATTGTAGTCCCTTCAAGTGGGGTTCTTAAGGGGAGAATTTGGAGGCAGCACTATCCCTAGCAAATTTGAATGAAGCAGTTCAAAAACATCAACCTGCACCCTCGTGCTAGCAAAGCCAAGATTTTTTATGCTTGTGCTTGCCATCTCATACAGCGTGATGATCATCCATGTTGATAGAAATCTAGGTAATACCTCTAGATACTTCTCAAAGAATTCCCCCAGTAATTATGACTCTCTGGTGGGTTGGTACGCTTTTGGACTGATGACAAAATTGCAGATTAATAAATTATTGTCCATATGCCTAAAATTCCAAAAGCTTCCTAACTCAATTTGGTTTGAGTACTTCCAAACCTCAGACTAAGATAAAAGTATGAATGCCAACTTACAGGAGAAGGAAAAACTCTGCCTTCAGTGGATGGATCCAGGAAGGCCGTGAGGTCAACCATGTCTCCAAGACTCAAGTGAATACCAGTCTCCTCTTCAACCTGCAAAAAACATGGCATTAAATACATACATTAGGAGCTATAGCAATATCTAATTCTGCTAAACTACACCAGACTCGTTATTTATATTGCCTTAGCGCTTTAAGGCCCACTACGTAATTTGGTCCTTGTCAGCTATGTTTACAATGCATGGTTTGAGCTTCTGTTTTCTTGACTATCAAAATCAGCTTTTTCACCGAAAAGAAATGTTTTATGTTGAAATAGAAATATACCTCACGAACTGCTGTCCCAACAAAATCACCCTTGACATCATCCAGCATCCCAGCAGGCAATTCCAAAACAAGTCTCCCTGTGGGCACCCTAACCTTAGACATGCATGAAAATTCATCAGGGTTTGAACAAAGCAGCATTACAAAAGCACCTATATTTTAACTTCAATCTCTTGTTCATTTACATTAGCATTCTGACAAACTCAAGGCAATCTATGTAGTGAACACTAAGAAAGACAAAAATTAAGTACCTGTTCAGTGAGAACAGCATAGGTCTCACCCTCAGACTCCAAAAGAATTAACACTGTTACAGCAGGTCCTCGTGCAAATACTATACCTGGAACCTAGGCATATTTCAGTCCATACTGAAAGATATGGATTATTTAATTCATAGCAATGCAGGTAAAATAATATCAGAACAGTGGGTATATAAAGCCTTATATTTATGTAGCCCGTGGGAAACTGAACTAATGAATGAACATCAAATATCCACAAGTTAAGTAAATGATTAAACATAATCAAAAGCCCAGAGATTTCCATAAACCAGGCTTAATAAAAGAACCAAATGTATCAGGAGAAAGCTATTCATTCGAGGCATGCAAGTAGAAAAAATACCTTCTGTCCAGTCTTCTTATCGAAAACATCTGCTTTGAATTTTAGAAAACCTATTCGTTGTCCGAACATATCCACTCCCTGTCACCAATATCTCATAAACTATAACTTGAATAAATCAAGGATTACAAGAGGGGCAATGCTGCTAGATTACTATATAAGATGGGTCATACAAAATCCATGATTTGAAAAAATAAGAACAATTGATTTCACAGAAGCCACCATGAAAAGCAAGAATATTAAAAATAAACCCTCCACAACATAATCTCTTTTCTTTTTAAGCAATCCCTGAAAACAGCCAGCCATCTTTAAGCGCAAGAAACTTTGCAATACAGTTTAGTACAACAACAAAGACAGAACTTGATTTTAATTAAAGCTTCAAAAAAGAGCAATTCAACAAAAAAGAAATATATGTATAATCGTAATACAAGAAGTCTTTTTTTCCCCCTCAAATTTTCACTAAACTATTATTTTCTTGAGCAGCAAAGAAAAAGAAAAAGAAGAAGAAGAAAGAGCTACCTGAACAAGTACTTGTTTCAATAAGAATGACCCAGTAGCTAAAATCCCATTTTCAGATTCCAAGTTTTTTAGCCACTGCTTAAACAACGAAGATTCAATAGCACTCCTGCAATACGAGAAAAAAAAATCAATAAATAAACAACAGAAAGACAGTTTAAAATTTTTACTCACCTGAACTGAGAATCAGAGACCCCTGGTGCAGCAACGATTTGAATGGGTTGACCGAGTTGAGTTGGCAAGGTGAGTGAGTGGGTGAGGGGCTGTGATGACTGGGCCGACATTTTGAAACAATAGGATCTTCTTGGTTTCCTAGCTTGGTTAAGTATTGAGAGAGATGACCCCAAAACAAGGCGTTTTGGAACTGAGAGGAGAGACATGGGAGCTTGAAGAGGACGATGATTCGTGGTTTTGCGTGTTACGATATGCGCACGTGTGACAGTCTTCGGTCGTGATTTATAATTTTATCGTAATAAAGTACTTGAATAGTATGTGGGCCTTTTGTTCGGCCCCATATTGGATCATGAAGAAATTGGCCTGGTCTGTTTGAATAAGATTTTATTTCCAACAACAAAATTGTTAAATGGGACGAGGCCCAACAGTAGAAAATGAATATTTTCCATTCCTATTGAAGATGTGAGAAGGTTTAATGACATAAATGGTTCTAGTTTTATTATAATTTAATAATTTTAAATTTTTATTATTAATTTGTATAATTTAAATTTTAAAATATTTATTTTTGAGCAAATTTTATTCAAATTCATTAATCGTAATAATCGACTCAATTAACCGTTAATTTCTCTTTTTTTTAAAAAAATAATTTTGTTTTCATTTTTCAAGAGAGATTATTTCTATTAAAATTTTTACATATTAATCCTTTTGATTTTTCAAAGTCAATCAAATTTTTATTTGTATATAATTTTTTTAATTTTAAAAAATAACTTTTGTGTAGTATCATTTTATATTAAAACAATAAACTTCTATAAATAATAAAATACAAATATATATTAATTAAATTTGATCAATTGAAATTATCAACAAATTATTTTTAACTAAATTTTTTTTTGTAATATCCATAAATTTATTCATGTGATTTTAATTATTAAATTTTAAATATAGTTGTATTCATTAATTTTTTTTATCTCTACATGTTTTATAGGATTTTTTTTCTCACAATTGTTAAGAGTTAGAAAACCATTTTTTAAAATTTTCTAATTTTATTTTATTTTTAGTTTTTTAAAGATAGGAACAAAAAGTAAATGCTTTTTTTTTAGGGAGAATCAAAAAAATTTTAGTGATAAATTTAATAAAAAAAATTATATTCATAGATACAAGGGTGGAAAAAAATCTCTCTTGAAAAATTAAGGAAAAGTATTTTTAACTTAAAAAAATTAATAGTAAAAAGAAAATAATAGTAGAAAAAAATTAACAATCAATCTGGATTGATCATTACAATTAACAAATTTAGATAAATTTACTCAAAATCAATATTTTGAAGTTCAAATTATGTAAATTGATACTAAATGTTTGAAATTGTTAAATTTCAATAAAAACGAAAGTAATTTTTCCATAGGTTTAGCTACTTTGGATGTTTTAATCCATGCTCCTCTCGCTTGACCCTCATCACATCAACTAAATCTTGTTTGATCAATTGTCGAATCTTTATCCGAGTGGCTAGGTTCTTGGTTTTGCCTCTAAATGTTTTCAGTTTTGTGGCTTTTCCCTCATATTAAGTCATGAGATGCCTTCAAATACTGATTGAGATTATGCACTTATAGCTCTCTTGGCATAATCATGGTTTGTATTCTAATGCTTTATAAAACCAATGTAAAAAAATCAAGGGTAGTATTCATTGCCTAGAGTCCCGTCTCAATGCTCAAATGAGAGTACGAGTCATATCAACATGATCATTGACATCCATCGTCTCTCAAAAATTATAATATTTGTAACCGTAACTGGTTGGACTCATGGTTAATATATCATGCTAATATGTAAAATGTATTCTTAAAATCGCCCAGAAAAATACCCTATTTTTATGTGAGGGAGGGGGCAAGTTAGAATTATCATTAGGCTCGAGGAATATTTTTAAAAATTTTGGAAGGGAACCTAGTAATAACTTTTAGGGGACAAATATGAAAATAAGCCTAAAATATAACGACTATTGTGGGTTTAAAAATTTTTTGGGAGGGACATGGCTCTCATACTTAGCCTACGCACTGCCCTGAAATATATATATATCTGCAATCATGTTTACATGGGTGCTTATCCGTTGAACTGAACATTTAATTATATGGTTTTACGGATACTCTTAGTGGTTTAATTAGGACCATTTATTATTATTTTAATTTAATCTCTACTTTTCTATTTTATAATAAAATTTATTGCAAACACTTAAAAAACCATAATACCATGTAAATTAGTGATTATTTAATATTCTTGATTTTAATTCAATCCAACAACAAAATTGAAATATAATCGAATAAATGCATATAGATAATAATTAATGAACAAATTTCATTCATCACTTTTTGGCATATTGAAGAAGACATTTAAATCCAGCTGGACACAAGAAAATAATTGTAGCCATCGATGGTTTATGAAGAAAAAAGATAATCAAAGGAAATAATTAATTGGATCAATAAATGATGGCTAGAAGAAAGAGACAATTGAGTTAAGAAAATAATTGAACCAATTAATTTTTTAATATATACATATATATATTGGTAATTGTATTTATAAATGTTTAAATAGTGTTACGTTAAATTGATTGATATACTAATTAATTTTAAGATATAAAATGCATAATAAGTCGTACTATAACATATTTGTTATGAAATAATGAATGTTCATTATCATGTTCATCCACTTTTTATAGCCCCACTACTCATGATTCTTAATATGATTCAATTCATCATTCAATATGATAAATTGAAAAGATGATGCAATTGATTATTCATAGTCCCTTCCAATTCTTTCCTCAATTTTGAAGTCTATAAATAGGCTTGATTGTTTATTAGTTGGTGTACAAGTTTTCTACGAGAGAATAAGAGAAACATTGAAGTTCTTATCACTTATATTCACATTATAGTGATTTCATTTTCTTGTCATCATTTTCTTCAATTCTCATATTATTTCTATTTATTTTATAACACGTTATCGGCATGAAGCTCTAACCAATCGAGACAATAGACCATGAGGTATGTATCTATCAAAATATTTAATCAATTATTTCAACAATTGGATTTCCTCTACACAAGTGCTCTACCAAAAGATCTAAATTATTTAGATCATTGAGACGTATGTATTTAATTTGTTCAAGTACTTTAAATCTATTGATACATGAAATATATATTTGAAAAACTTAAATGATCTACTAATGATCTAATATATATTATTTGAAAAGCTTTAATTTATTATTATATTTGTTCTTATTTTCTAATATTATTATTATATATTGTATTTTAAAATTTTTATCATATCAAACCTCATACACTTGATTTGGTGGCTCTTGATATTTTAAATAAGAATTATTGATTATGAATGCTTGATTTTGAAAAAATATTCTCTACTTTTTATGTCTTGAATATGCTCTTGCAGTAGCATATCGAGAAAAAGAGTTTAAGAAATATTTTGGATCGATTTTATACTTTTTAGTGGCTAAATAAAATGAAAAAGAATAAATCTCATCCAATTAGATATACTCCATTCCACGAAGTGAATGTGACAATTTATAATAATTTTAAACATGGATGAAGATATGGTCATAGCCATGGATATGGTCGAAATAATTATCATTATAATCGTAATGACCATAATATTACATCTCACCACCGAAGTGAATAACTATGAAAAAAAGAAATAAAAATAGATAAAATCGGTATTCTGAAAAATAAATATTATAGATGTGGAATGAATGAATATTGATCGTGTACTCGTCATATACCAAAGCACCTCATTGAGGCTTGTCAAGCCTTATTGAAAAATAAAGAGTAAAATATGAAGGCCACTTTTATATATAAAAATAACAGTAATTGAAATTAATTACTTGTTATTTTTTTTATTTATAAATAAAATGTTTTATATTTCTTATAATTTATGTCGTATCTTGATAGTTACAAATTTATTTTTCTATTTATTTATTTGTTTGTGTTTATGAGGAATATATTGATTTATTTACTTTGTATTGATTTATTTGATTATTTATTTTATGTTAATATTATATATGATAATATCAATCTAATAGAAAGTTCTAGAAGAGTGACTATATTATTATCTAAAGAAATAGATTTTGAAGGCTCTAAAAGAACAATTATATCATGACTTGAAGAGACAAATTTTTGAAGCTCTAGAAGAGTGAATAAATTATTACTTAAAGAGAAAATGTTTAAAGGCTCTAGAAGATTACTTGAAGTGACTAATTTAAAGGCTTAAGAAGAGCAAATATATTATTATCCGAAAGGATAGATTTATTATAAATGATGTACTATTCTCTTAAAAGACTCATAGCAATTTATTGAGTTTCAAAGATATTCATCTAAATTGATATCATATCAAGATAGCAAATGTGAATACTTGTATATTATAATCATTATACCGGATAGAAAATATGTATCGAAAAATTTACTCGCTTTCTCGTCCGGTCTTTATTACAAACATTGAAATGGTTGAAACAAATATTATAATAAACCGAAGTTTACTAATTCAAATACTTTTACTATATGACATGACTAGTTGTGTTATCTTGGGTCTTTCATTATGTGAAAAAATTATTAAAAAATTTATATGAATATCTATTGAAGAGACAAGCAGATTCTTCAATTTAATGAATTTTCATGTTCCGTATGTTGTCAAGGCAAATTGATGATTAAGCCATCACCAAATAAAATGAGATTAAATCTCTAGTATTTTTAAAATGTATTCAAGGTGATATATGTGGATCAATTGATCCACTATGTGGACCATTTAAATATTTTATGATTTTGATAAATGCATCCATAAGATGGTCACATATATGCTTACTATCTACTCGAAACCCGACGTTTTCGAGATTGCTAGTAAATAATTTGATTTTGAGCATAATTTTTAGATTATGCCATTAAAACAAGTCACCTTGATAATATTGGTGAATTTTTCTTCTAAGCATTAAATGATTATTGATTGGCTATTAGAATAAAGGTTGAGCATCTCGTTGCTTATGTTCATACTCGGAAAGGTTTAGAAAAATTATTTATCAAAAGGCTCCAATTGATAGCTAAACCATTATTTAAAAATAAAACTCCATGTTTATGTTTGAGGACATGCAATCTTACATGCAGCAACACTTATTTGCATATGACTCATAAGTTATCGAAATTCTCTCCTCTTCGGTTGATTTATGGTC